ATATCTGGCCTTAAGAACTTAAGTGGTGTCCTTGGCTAAGAGTTTATACTTTTCAATCACATTTAACAGCATTAATGTTAATATTATTGGAGAGAACTTGATTTTGTATTCAAGTGCATAAATAAAAGATTCCTAGTTTGATCTCGCCAGAAGAGGACGGGTAAATCCAGTTTTACTGGAGCCGTTTGGCTTTAATACGGCGTTCAGGTTGACACAGTCGATGAGACAGCCTCCTTCGCTTTGGGTGAAAATGGGCTAAGCTTTCGTCCATCATATGATAGACATCATCAGAGCTGGAACTCATTCTTCACATCATTTTCATATCAACATTAGGTGAAGAAGATTATCAGGCTCTAGCTAAAAACGAAAATTAATACACATATAAAGATATGGGATGGTTTGGCTGATTATCTTTCATACTTATTCTGCTACATTTACTCAAATGTGTGCGCATGTGTGTGCTAAAATCTATACACAATACAGGTCCTAAATCAAAAACAGGTTACTCTTACGGCACTGTTGGAGAATTAGAAAAGAGAGGACGATGGGCTGGAGGTGAAACAGATTCGGAAAAGATCAACATGACGATAATAATAATATTCGGCCTCATCATCGGTTCACTAGACTTACCTCTTGTGGTTATTTCACAATTGAACAGGTTCGAAAAAAAATACACGATCTCATCATTTTTGACACGGCCTGATATGTAATACTTCAAGAATGTCAAACCTAGCACTATCTTACGAATAGATTTTCTAGGCTAACTCACCCATTCCGCCAATATGCCTAAAGGCGAATAAATAAATATTCGATTTTGTGCTCACTATTAATTCACTTAAAATCAATGGTGTTTTTAATTGAGTGAAAAAAATGACAATTGTCTAATTTTAATTTTTTGTACATACTACAGTAATTCGTTCCTCACTCTAGTATGTTGTCACAAAGCTCAACAATGCTGGATTGCCGAGTTAAATGAAGTAACGTAGCGTTTACTAGTTCTCGTACATTAGGATACCGGTAATAATATGCAATTTCTGAGATAAAAGTTGGAATTTTAGAAAAAAAAAGATGTAATTTACCATCTACTTAGACATTGAGCGTCTATCATGGACAGCATCCTTTCTTTTTAAAATGCATATAATCGAAACTGGGTGGACTATAAAATTGTAGACTTGTCAGTAATGTTTGATCGTATCGTCATATAAGCTCCTAACAGAATAAATATTCAAAGAATGCATCCATATGATTATTTTCCTGTACATTTTTAATGCTTTACAAAGATCGACCTTAATTTCACATAAAAAATTTGAACAAATAATTTTTAATGTGCTCTTGATCTCGCTAAAAATACCACCACCAGTGGTTAGAGATAGTTTAACAATGGATTAACGTGAATAAACATAATTTAATGCATAAGATACTAGGCCACCAATGGAGTAGAAGATTCACATAACTTCAAAAATGTGAATCACAAAGATTCCAAAGTAATTTTCAACACCGCCCCTGACGCAGATAAAAAGCGAATGCTGAGACAGAAACTAGAAAACTAGTTCATGCCAAATAGGCTATAATTAAATAAAAATGACATACTTTAGCATAACCAGGCTCCCATGCAAGTTTTTTTCGTCTTCCTGGCTTGCCAGGAAACTCAAGTAGCCCAACCAGTTGGCCAAGCCTATCAATGTCCACTCCAGCTACTCGAGTAGATGAATTCAGTATACACTGGCCAGGCCCATGTAGCGGCTTTGTGGAGTGAAGAGATGGAGTAGCTGGAATAGTCGAACAAGCAGACGCTCTGTAGGAGGACGTTTCTGCATCTTGGAGAGCGCGAATGCCGAAACGATGACGTTCCCCTGTAGAAGCGCGACGAAGCGTTCGTTCTTCGTTCTCAGTGGTGATATCATAGATGCTGATCATTTTTCGCGGCTGGGGTTTGTTCCCTGTATTGGACAATGGCGATTTGATCTATGCAAGAACAAACAATAAAGTAGAATGTGCAGATAAATTCAACAATCATTAAGTTAGGATTAATAGAGATTGAAAAACGAAAGTTTTGACATTTTAGTCAATAGTTAATTTAATGTGCTAACTGCTAGATAAATAAGCAAATAACAAAATGTAATAACAGCAGCAATGACATTTATTTAGCTAGAAAAATTCCGGAATAAATAGTGTAGAATTGTGCAACAAAAGGCTTGTATCGGAAGATATTCATGTACCCTTGGTTGAAAGGGCAGATGTGAATTTAAAGAAAAGCCGGGCATTTTCCATATATCATTCTGTAGTAGGATTTTCGATAGCCATAGCAATTGACAGAAGTACTTATTTTTCTGTTATAAATAGGGTTTCGAGACTACAAGTAAATCATATATATATATATAATGTGGTAGCATCGAAACCCGAGTTATAAACGAAAAATAGTAATATAGAAGATTGCCATAGCAATCTTAATTGCTTAATTGACGATCCCACGACAGAATGTTGTATGGCGAAATGCCTGGCCTTCCTTTAAATACACATCTGCCCTGTGCCAATTGGTCATAGTGGTTAGTGTTGTGACTATCCACTGTAGGGTCATGGTTTGAGTCCCGCTGGAGGTGATGCTAACGCCTAGGCGAGGTCGAAGCTGCAGTCTATCCTAGATAACAAAGTAAGGCTATGTGAAATTCAATGAAAATGTCATGTCTACTCAAAGTATTGCAGGAAAGTTCAACTACCACTCCTTTCATCATCTTAAACGAAATACGATGAATACATCTCATATATATTATCTATTGGTGGTCTCGAAAGCCTACTAATAAACCAAAAAAATAAGTTCAAGTTGAAACCTATGAAAGTGTGCGCAAAACAACAAACATATAGAAATATTGAATGTGTCCAACAAACTAAAATTCGGTCATAAATTCAAAAATAATATTAAAAAAGACAGAGAAATTTTAAAAAATGAAAGAAAATTATTAATAGAGGTTACGATGAACAAAAATTAATTCTCAAAAAGTGACTACGGTCAGTCCTTTGCGATATTCCTGACTTTAATCAAAGCCAGATTTAAAGGATTAGTAAAAAAGACTTAGTGGAAACTGAAGTAAGAAAGCTTAGTCAATTTCGTATAGGTATCAATTTAGTCTGGTAATCTGCGCCAAGACTTAGTTGCTAAAAGGGCATAAGACGTTAAAACAAAGAGCAACATCTGAACAAAAAACTCGAGAAAACAAGTCAGAAAAAGCTGCTCTTGCTGATTGATATATTCTTTGTGTGAGAACGTATAAAGGTAATTAGGATTTCATCGAAAATGTACTTCACTCTATCGTTGATGCCTCGTTCAAAATTGTCCCATATTACGTTCTGGTCTGCAACAGTATGTAAAAATACGGCGGAGGGCAAGATTG